TGACGATGCCCAAGTAGGAATTAAGTTTGCTTTAGTCTTGACTTAGCTGAACCGCACCAATGGAGGAGAGAGGGATCATTAATAACTGAACTCTAGGAAGAGAGATGTCCATTTAGGCGTAAATGGTCACATTTTAAGTCGCTCCAACTTGCAGCACCACCTTATCAGCCATCTTATTATCTAATTATCGTATCCTCTAATCAGATTGTACATCCAAGACGAACTCCTAAGAGATGATGAAAAAGAGTTGCAGGTCGATCGTAACATTCATGCGCGTACGCGGCTTTTTTGCGAGTACGAGTTTACGATCGGCGATCAGAACCCTCGACCTTCGAAAGTTACTTAGGGATTTTCTTGCAATGGTCTTCCAGCCGCATCTTTAATGTCTTTTTTATGGAACCTGGAGAAAACTCCTACTAACAAAAAGCCGCGTACGCGCATGAATGTTACGGTCGACCTGCAACTCTTTTTCATCATCTCTATGGAGTTCGTCTTGGATGTACGATCTGATTAGAGGATACGATCAGCAGATAATAAGATGGCTGATAAGGTGGTGCAAGTTGGAGCGACTTAAGATGTGACCATTTACGCCTAAATGGACATCTCTCTTCCTAGAGTTCAGTTATTAATGATCCCTCTCTCCTCCTCCATTGGTGCGGTTCAGTTAAGTCAAGACTAAAGCAAACTTAATTCCTACTTGGGCATCGTCAGCCGACTAATTACCCTCAACCTCCGCCACGTCATTATTGAAAGAAAGAAAGAAAAAAAAAAAAAAAAAACATCAACATCATCTTCCAACAGAAGTTACTTTCACTGCTTCCACATGAGAAAAATGAAGAAAAAAAAGAAAGAAAGGAAGAGGGAAGAAAATAAAAAAAAAGTTTGTTTTATTTAACGTCTCTTAGGCATTCCAACTCTCCTACGTACTTTCGCATGGATTATCATTTGTTTTTCCTCTCTTTTTGTATTATTTGTGTTATTAGCATTATCATGTTAGTAAAAATGGACTTCTTAAACGTTTTTGAAGACTTAGAGAAAGGATCGATGAGAAAAAGAGGCGACATGGCCGAAGGAGAGGCCGCGTAAGAAGACGGCATGCGGGCGCGGTCCGGTAATAATGGGCGCAGCCTCGTGAGCGTCGGAGTTGGAGCGGTTGAGGAGCCAAGGTATGGGTGGCGGGGCAGCGGAGAGGGGTCGGAGAGGACTGGAAGGGAAGGGCACGAGCGGCGCCGCACACCGGTATGGCTTCCGGCGGGAGCGCGCGAAACCTCCGTTTACGCACATAAAACGGCGAATATCTCGAAAACCGCACATGGGATCTCTTTGGGCCCCATAGAGCTTTTGATCAGAATGACGAGCTGAGCAACATATCCAAGCGGCATCGCGTTTGACTGGGGGAGATTTCCCATAAGGAAGGTGCGGGGTTCTTTCTCGATTTTTTCTCGTGGTTATAAAATAGAATTAGTTTTTGTCAAATTTGTCTTCCTCGTCAAATAACCCTTGAATACAGACTCCCGCGCATTTGTATCAGCAAAAATCCCTAAAAACCCTTTAAAACGGAGTTCCTTTCTTTTTGACCGGCCACCATCTTGGAAAGGCTTTGAGATTTTGACAACCTGATGTCAAATTCGTCTTTCCTGTGCCGAATAACCCAGGAATATGGATTTTCGGGCATTTTTATCAGCAAAAATCCCTGAATACCCTTCAGAACGCGGATCCCGCCATTTTGACATCAGGTTGTCAAAATCTCGAAGCCTTTCCAAGATGGTGGCCAGTGCAAAAGACGGGAACTCCGCTTTAAAGGGTTTTTAGGGATTTTTGCTGATACAAATGCGCGGAAGTCTGTATTCAAGGGTTATTTGACGAGGAAGACAAATTTGACAAAATCTAATTATTTTTTGTAACCGCGAGAAAAAATCGAGAAAGGGGTACGTGCAAAACGGGCCATTTCACGCTCGTGTCGGATAGCATTGAAACTTGCCCTATTCATTCATCTAACAATGCCCCATGTTTTCCCAAAGTTTCAAGTCCCCAAAAAATTTTGGGGGGAAGTGGCGGGGGGGTAAAAGTTGAAAATCCGCGAAATTTTTGCGAATTTTTTTACTAAAAAACTGCTAAATATTTCGAAACGCGGTTTAAACGAGCGTTTTCAGCGCGGAAAGAGCTTTCAGAAAATGTATAATATCATAGGGTTTTGTCGGCTGAAACTCGAGTTATCGCCTCTGAAGCGCCGGAACGCTAAAAAATGACCCGCTTTTTTTTCACGTTCGGGCCGATCCCCAAAATACTCCATTTTTAATTTCTTTGAAAAACTGATATGTTGTGCCTGATTCTCTATGGCACCTATGTCTTTACCGTATCCTGGGGAAATGTTTTGTTCGCGAGTTATAAGAGCGGAAAAGAGCGAAGGTCGGGAAAATCGGCTATTTTAAACTGCGCGCGGCGACGGATCAGGAGGCATGTGGCAACAATGCGAGGTCAGCAGAGGAGTGTGATTCGCCGAGCTGAACAGGAGGGGGCGTTTAGAGTACCTATATTGAGAGAGTATGGCCACTGGGCCCCATGGAGAGGCTTAGGACCCAAAAATGGCGGTGCTTTGTTTTGGTTTTCGTGGATGGGAGGGGGGTCATTGCCAACTTTTGACGGTTATCACCAACCGCACTTGCTGCCAACCTTACTACATTTACGATAATTTTTCTCAAAAATTGCACACGATTAGCCTTAAAAATATGTAAAGATGTCGCAATAGTGCATTTGGGTAAATTTCTCGTTACGATAAGCAAAGAAAACTACATTTTGAGTCATTTTGCATTTCATTAATTTATGGCGTCCGCCATTTTTGGGTCCTAAGGGCTCCATTCAGCCTAAGATGGCTGAGCCAATCAGAGGTGGTAACCCCAGTGGCCATACTCTCTCAATATAGGTACTCTAGGGGCGTTCTCCTTCTAACCCATGCGACGCGCGCAGTTCAAAATAGCCGATTTTTCCGACCTTCGCTCTCTTCCGCTCTTATAACTCGCGAACAAAACATTTCCCCAGGATACGGTAAAGACATGTAGGTGCCATAGAGAGTCAGGAACAACATATCAGTTTTTCAAAGAAATTAAAAATGGAGTATTTTGGGGATCGGCCCGAACGTGAAAAAAAAGCGGGTCATTTTTTAGCGTTCTGGCGCTTCGGAGGCGATAACTCGAGTTTAAGTCGACAAAACCCTATGATATTATACATTTTCTGAAAGCTCTTTTCGCGCTGAAAACGCTCGTTTAAACCGCGTTTCGAAATATTTAGCAGTTTTTGAGTAAAAAATTCGCAAAAATTTCGCGGATTTTCAACTTTTACCCCCCGCCACTTCCCCCCAAACTTTTTTGGGGACTTGAAACTTTGGGAAAACATGGGGCATTGTTAGATGAATGAATAGGGCAAGTTTCAATGCTATCCGACACGAGCGTGAAATGGCCCGTTTTGCACGTACCCCTTTCTGCGAAAAGAAGATTATTGACGTCCAGCATTATGGCATTGGGCAGTAGGATTGGCTCTCGGGCTTCCTCCAGGACTCAAATTTCCCGATTTTTTCTACAGGTAGAATTAATTTAATTTTTTATGGAAGATTTTTCTCGAGATGCCTTTAATGGTTGGGTGGTGGGGAGGCTTGAGAGAGACTCGAAACGCAGCCACCTCTCCGTGGTGTGTCTTGGGCAGTTGAAATTACAAAGCAGAAAATTTGCTTTTCAGTTGGCTGAGAGGCACGCTCTGAATTCTACGATTCAGCGATCAATAAGCGCCTTATCTGCTTCTCGTTATGACTGCTTGGCCGCAATTTTGTAAGGGCTCCCTCATTTTTGACACCTAATGTCAAACTAGTTTATTACAGGTTAAAGAACCCCTGTCCATCGAGCTCCTAGGAAAACTAACTGTTAAAACCCGAAATGCAAATTCTCCGCCACTTTAATCGGCCGCCATCCTGTAAGAGCTTTGAAATTTTAGCCACCTGATGTCAAAGTTGTCTTCCTCGTGTCAAATAACCCTTGAATACGGACTTCCGCGCATTTTTATCAGCAAAAACCCCCTGAAAACCCCTCACAACGGAGTACCCGCCATTTTGACAGGCCATCATCTTGGAAAGGCTGTGGGATTTTGACAACCTGATGTCAACTTCGTATTTCCTGTGTCCAATCATCCTAGGAAACGGACTGCCAGGCATTTTGATCAGCAAAAATTCCTGAAGACCCCTCAAAACGGGATTCCCGCCTTTTTGATCGGCCGCCATCTTGGAAAGGTTTTGAGATTTTGACAACCTGATGTCAAATTCGTCTTCATCGTGTCGAATTACCCAGGAAAATGGATTTCCAGGCATTTTTATCAGCAAAAACCTCTGAATACCCTTCATAACGGGGATCCCGCCATTTTGACCGGCCGCCATCTTGGAAAAGCTTTTAGATTCTGACAACCTGATGTCAAATTCGTCTTTCTCGTGTTAAGTAACCCTCGAGTACCAGGTTTTCGGTAATTTCTTTGATGAGAACTCCTGAAAAACCTTCTTAAGTGGTTTCCCGCCATCTTGTCAAAAATTAAAGCATCAACCTGAACTTAGCGTCAAAAATTTTCTTTTTTTATTACCTATCCAAGGATGTGTCACATGATAGGGATTCCCATTTGAAAAAAAGGTTAGGGTCCGTAGCCCCCCCCCCCCTCAAAGAAGGGCCAAAAAATTTTTTTTTTTGGGGTGGGGGGCTCAAAAAAGTAGTTTACTTTGACACAGCTGCACTGTCATTATTTCAAGTCTCCATCTCAATTCGTTCAAAAGTTACAGGGGTGTCCTAAGACTTTTGGGTCACCCTGTATCCATCTTGTCTACCGAGCCCCTCAATTTTAGAATTTTTTTTCTTCGAAAAAGGAAAATTGAAGCAGATTTTAAAGTTTATCAAATTCGTCCTATTTCATTTTCAGGTAACTCGAAGCTCAGGCATTCCTCATGAATATCTCTTCTTTTTTCTTTTCAGTTACTCAGGGAACTCAAACATCCAAATGTCCTGAATTTAATTCGAGTATTTTTATCGCACAATGATAGGAAGGTTTGGCTTTTAGTGGAATATGCAGAACATGATTTATGGGTTCGTTGATTTTTGACATTTTTTCAATTAATTTTAAGTTGCTGACGCCTCAAAAAATGAAATATCTACAGCTACCTGCTTTTTTCCGTTGTAATATGATGCTAGTTGTGATTCAATATTTATCATAAAATCAGAATTAAAAGAGAGATGCTTTATTGTCAGGCTAGAACACGAAAATGAAGAGTCACAAAAAACACCTGGCATAGCTTTGGCGAAAGTGCCAAACTACATATCACCTTCTGTTTTTCTACATTTTCGCTCCTAATTTCTTTTTTGAAAGAGAAACAAACCAACGTTATAGCTTGACACTTTAACAGAATATCCTGCCAATAGAAAAGAAAAATCAAGGAAGTTTTCCAAAAATAACTGTATTAACTTGTTTTCCAAAGGAAAAATAATGAATAGCAGGAAGTCTGCAAGGTCTCAAACCTAGGTATGTGGTTTTGCACTTCGACCATCGATATACATGCACGCTCAGCACACTCATAATTGCATTCTCGTGTCTAACACATGACATCATCACTCTTAATGAAAAATCTACCAACTTAGAGCTCCTGCTCAGCCTTTTCAAAAGTGTAGGACGTGCATTAACCTCTATTGTTTATTTTTTGGAGACACAATCTCTCATGATAAAAATTCACGAATTATTTATAAAAACTAATTAACATGCACCGGCAGGCCTCATATTTTCAGTTGGGAGCCCTTCGAAATCACAGCATGAGTCTGTAAACTTTGTTCTGTCTTAGCTCCATGAATGGAGAATTTGCATGTGCCTGAAATTTGATGGATTTCGTGTTTAAGTGGAAACAGCTGAGTGAACTGAGCCTGAGGATATCCTTGGTTCATAAATCAAACAATTATTGGAGGAAATATGACTAAATAAATCTAATCTGCATAATAGGTACATGTGTTACTGGGAAATGCTGCCTGATGACGTCACTAGGCGACTTTCTCACTTTCAAATCTGTTTTCATACTGTTTGCCCATATCAGAAAAAAATTATAAATAACACAGCGAAATCGGCTTTTCAAGCACTCGAAAGATGAAATACCTAATGGAAAATCTGCATGCAAATTTTCCATTGTTTGAAAAAAAGTCCAAGTTACAGAAGTGTGAATGTACAAACTGAAAGTGGAATGTTAAATAATTTTTTTAGTTCTGGTGTGTGTGGAATCTTTTGCTCCCATTATCGAAATATACACTCATGTTCACCATCAATACTTTTCAATTATTACTATTGATCAATCCTCTCTTTTTCCTCAGCATATCATAAAATTTCATCGATCTGCAAAAGCTGCTAAAAAGCCTGTGCTAGTCCCAAAAGGCATGGTCAAGAGTCTTTTGAACCAAATTCTTGATGGAATTCACTATCTACATTCAAATTGGGTTCTACATAGAGATCTTGTAAGTACCCATCTAACTTTATTGTTGAGGTTGATTTGGTCTTTGGAATAGTCTCTATGAAATCTTTCTCTAAAAATAGGGCTACAGCTAATGATTAACATCTCCAGCTGGGGCCGGATTTAAGATTTTCGGGCCCATAGGTGCGGATCTCCTAAAGTGTATCTCTTGGGAGAAAGGGGGAAGTGGCGAACCTACCTAGCACAGGTGAGCAGTGGCGGATCCAGGGACAGTTAGAGGCAGAGTGCATCTCGCGATTTCAAGTGGGGGGGGGGGGGGGGCACCCTAGGGTGCGTCAAAAAAAAATGAAAGTCTGAAATGTTCTGCTCCCCAAGCGGCAATCGATGACGTTTGGTAAAAAAACATGTTTGCCAAAATTTGGGCCAATTTCAACAATTTTAAATGGTGCCAAAGGTCAATTTTGTGATGAAATATGATATTTTGGTTTAGACCTCAATTTCGTACAAAAAACTCGATCTTACGCTGAAATCGTGCGTTTACGAGAAAAATGCCTAAGAACTCAAGTTGTAGAGGATGAAATTTTACTCTAGGATGACGTCTTTGTAAACGATAAAAATCGAATTGAACTAGAAAAACTCAACTCGGTATTTATTTTTTTGGTCCTCAGAATTTCCGAGGTCTTACAAAGTAGCGGTTTAAAATACTCATTTTTTCACGAAAATAAGTCATTAAGTATAAGTCATATGTACTTTATTTTTTTTTGAGACAAGGGCTCTTTACCTAAGGACTCAGCTAATTTTAGCAATTTTTACGAAGTTATCAATTTTTTAGTGCCAAGGGATGTATACACTTTTTTTTACAGGTCCATGGCCGTTAAGTCTATCTGTACTATGAGCTCCAAGGCCTCCTAATTTTGCGTAACTGGTAACGCTTAGTTTTAGCGCTCTACCGGGCCGATTTTCATGATTTTTGCGGCCATTGACGGGCAATTGTCTCTAGATGAGCCCACTCTCTTCAAATTTTCAAAATATAACCCAGGTTTTTTTGTATTACATAGTAAAGTTGCGAATTTTTCCATTTAAACAATGTAAATTTATATTTTTTGTCATAGTTCGTTTGAGCGTTCTACCAAGCCGATTTCCATGTTTTTTGCCGTTATAGACAGGTGATAGGTCCTACATAAGCCCACTGTAGTCAGATTTTGGGAATAGGACTTTGGTTTTTTTATATAAGAGAAGACCAGGAAGCTTAAAAAGGGGGGCAACATTTGAAATTCCCGCCAATAAAAAATGGCGAGAATTTCAAATTTAGCGGAAAATTAAACCAAGCGGGAAATGCAGAATCTTGGTCTGTTAGTAAGGTAAGGTAGGTGAATAGAAGGTATGCTCCTTCGGCACAGACTATCTAAACGCAATGGAACGCTTTGTTCCGTTTTGTTTCAGTCTTTACTAGAATTTTGAAATAAATGCTGATTTTTGTATTCGATTCTTATTGGTTCAATCACTCCTGGTCAGAGGGAGATTGGACCAATGAGAGTCGATTATGAAAATCTTTTCATTTTTTGGCCGTTCCTCTGTCTAAGCGGGACTAATGGAGCGCAAAGCGCCCTCTGGGGGTTGAGCCGTGTAGCGGCCAGGGGGCATAGCCCCCTAGTATTCCGTTAAGTCCAGCTAGTGAGCCGTCTATTCTGTTAAATCCAGCCAGTGAGCCGAGCTGGTGAATTTTCACTCCTGCTCTTACCCCTCTCAGTCCTCTCCTATGCCATCGTTGTTAGGACACTTATCTGGCAAAAGGGGGTTAAGATCTTCCAAGACTTGACTATCTTAAAACATTTAATTAGCATATTCTTGGAATTTTTTGTCAACCACACCCACAACTTCCTCTTTCTTTGTCTTCCTTTCCGGAAATTCTGACACAAAAACGGTTTGGAAAATAAGGTAAACAGTCCCTTTTTTTATTCTAAAATGGATAAACGTGCGCCAAAAAATCCCGCGCCGAAAAGTCCTGCACCGAAACGGTTGCGCCGAAAAGTCCGGACACCCAATTTTCTTGCCATTGGTGTGGTTTACACTACTACTTCAAATGGTCTGGATTATAGAGAATGTCAGAAAATGATTTAGTGAACTGAAACCAATCCTCCCCCTCCTATTGCTCATCATTGTTGATTCCAGGCCCCAAACTCGCAATTCAAACCATACTTTTCTGCGCCATAGTACAACATTACTTACCCTTCCCTAATTAAATTTAAACCTTATTTACTGCAGAGTTTGGCAGTAAAAGTTTGTCCAAACTTTGGTTTTCACCCTGCTCGAGGAGCATGCACAGAGCAGTATGGAGTGTACGGCAATGTCTCAAACTTTCATTTCGTGAGAAATTTAGTCGCTAGGGAAATTAGTGTTATTGTGTTGTCCCACTGTATGCAAAAAAATGTAGTTTGTTCATGCACGTTAGGGCGTTTTTGGGCTTTTTTTTCCTTTCGAAAATGGACATAGCACAAAAGTGGCGAAATGGTCTCAAAATAACGCCTGAATTTTCCTAAATTTTTTCGTCACCTTTAGGCCTCCCGGATTGACGTTGACGTCAAAATTAGCGGAAAATCCAGGTTTTTTGACGATAACTTGGCAGCAATGGTTAATACGACAAAAATGGATAGAATCAAAGTTGTTGGAAATTGAATTTCCAACAAATAACTTTCTCGTCGTTTTTTCTCTAAGTGCAACCGTTTCAGTGTATAATTCGAAAACCCGTATTTTTCCGAAAATTTGGCACAAATTCTCGTTCAGTCCAGGAGATATACGGGAGAAAGAGGGCTAACCCGGAATAAATTGCGTGACAGACTTTTCCTACAAGAATATCATCATCGGGTTGTCCTGCTTAACACAAAACATACGAAATGTTTTCCACGGCTCCACCGCGGAATACCCCCTAAAATGCTTAAAATTCAAAAAGGCGGCTGTGTTTAGATTATCAACCATCAAAATAATTTAAAATATGCATCTCGTGTGGTGTGAGGTGTCATTTTCTATGTCATTTTAGTCGTCAATTTTCAATATAGTGTCAAAAAAAGCCAAAAGCCCCTTGTCAAACAGGGTGCATCAAATCCAGGATGGCGGCCAGCTTTGAACGGCAGGAGGGTATTTTTGTCCCATATTCCCTTACATTCCCTCTGACAGTTTATTCCAGTACCACTTCTTCGTGTGATAAGTCAAGTGAGGTATTATTTCCTTATAGAATATCGACGGCGAAATTCCCAAACCAGGCACTTATCTCGTTTGCAATATTTGATAATTTCAAGAACTCTGCAACGTCGCAAACCGAGGTACATGCTTTAGTAGTTTCATCGTAATTTTGGTCGTAGATTTCAAGTATGACGTGATGAATACCACCTCGTTAATCGGGCTGCCCAAAACTCAAAAGAGACTCATAAGTTTGAAGGGTAGGAGGACTTAAGCAAGTTGAATAATGACGCAATGAGTGAAGTGAAGTATTATTCCCTGTGTGATTTTGGTAAAATGTGAAGTTAAGTTGAAAATGAATGTTCAAACAGGGCGTCTCAAATCCACGATGACTGCTTGTAAAAGGCAGTAGCGTTAACCGGAGGTGTAGGTATATGCTAAAAGGAAGTATCTGAACGGTTTTTGGGTGGAACATAGTTCCTTTTAGCATTAATACGTCTTATTTTAAAATATGCTTTTATTACATCTTCGAAAATAAGGTACCGATTTCCGTGTAAGTAATGTAATATCCACGTTTAAAATCCTTTCATTCCCCCGGAGAACCAAGTCTCTTTTTATTTGAAATGTGAATAAAGCAAATCAAATCACGTGAGAATCATGGGAAATAAAACAAAAAAATCAATCTCTAAAATTAAAAGTTGACGGAACCATTTTTCAAAAAATGTTCTGAGGAGCATCATCCGGTGGGATGAATCATCGATGTTTTCATTTTTTCATTCTTTTTCTTTTAGTATTAGGTAACTCCGTTGTAAAAATAGCTTTTCCAGCAGTTTCTCTTCGAATTGTACAACTATTTGTAGTGTCGTTTTATTGGTTCCTCATATGGAGATAGTCGCCATCCTCAATTTCAGCTCTTATTGAGGAGTAAAATTAATTGCAAACATCTCATAAAACTGCTAGATCACTTTAAAAGATTTTTTACTATCACACTTTGAAATTTTCTGTTCTGTCCTTTAAATTTAGATCTAGAAACTGCACGATTAGAGGGCATTTTCTGCTCTGAATTTAAAATTTACGTCCAAAATTATCTAAATTCAACAAAATCATTGCGGCATCTTAAACCCTAGTAACCTGCGGATTCGGCCTGGATTGTCAGTTTTACGCCTCCTGACCAGGTGTCATTCATCAGGTCATAGATAAGGTCTTATGAAAGACAAATGAATTTTGGATCCCTCATCAAACTGCTAGACCAATATTATCCAGAAATCGTCACCTTAATTTCAGTTTAAAATGTATTACATTAATAAAACCTTAAAAGTTACCCTCCTGCCGTTCCAAGCAGGCGGCTATCCTGGATTTGATGCACCCTGTTTGACAAGGGGCTTTTGGCTTCTTTTGACACTATGTTGAAAATTTACGACTAAAATGACACAGAAAGTTACACCTCACACTACGCGAGATGCACATTTTAAATTATTTTGATGCTTGCTAATCTAAACACGCCCCTTTTTTTGAATTTTAGGCATTTTAAGGGGTATTCTGCGGTGGAGCCGTGGAAAATATTTCGTATGTTTTGTGTTATGCAGGACAACCCGATGATGATATTCTTGTAGGAAAAGTCTGACACGCAATAATTGATAATTGATAATTTCAAAGGATCATTAATTTCAAAACTTCGTTTTTGTGCCAATAAGTTGCTTCAAACATCAATGGAAATCTTCAGGATTCACATTTCCTGGATCACTGAATCACACAATATTGTCACTTATCATCACTTCTACACATTACCTACTGTAGATTCTACATCAGAATGCTCTATCCCACAATGAAACGACCGATTTAATGTAAATTTCCAAGGTTTGAAACATTAACTGTTGCTAACTTATAGCGAAATAATCTGATTTATTTTCTGTAGATTCTGAAACTCTGCAAGTGAGCATCAGTTTTCATCCAGGAATGGTATTTGAAAGCTTTCCCTTGTTTTTGTTAAAGTGTTTCTGACATGTTCTCCAGTGCTCTACCAATGGGCAGTAATTTTTTGCATTGGAGTCTGAAAGCATCACGCACGGAATACTAAAAAATTTGGTTCTGCCATATTTTGAGATTTTTTGATCTGACGCTCTTCATTATCTCTTGAGTAAGATGAGCTTTTAAAATCAAACCTTATATATGCCAATCTTGAGAAAATCAGGTCTAAAGAGCGTATTTTTCGCAACTTAACATTTGTTATCATATGGAAAAACAACACCGTGGAAGATGCGGAGCCGTTTATTGTGAACTGACAATGAGTTGACATGCCGAACGATGCGCATCTGTCGTCTGTCCTATCTCTTTGGCTGGCTTGAGATTAAAAAAAACATCTCACACCTCGATCACGTACTCTACCTACCTGAAATAGCGTGCATAATTGCGTGTGAACGCACTTTCCAGACCGGACCTCCTGGAGATTCACACATGGAAAGTTTGATTTTAAAATTTTATCTCACTCAAGAGGTTGAAAGGAAAATCCAACATCATATCCTAAAATCTCTAAATTTAGCCAGCGCCGAATTTCTTGGTAATGTCAGCAAAGTTCTTCATTTGTTAAATTGAGGTAACCATCAGAAGTAATTCAAAATTGTGTTTATCTATTACAGAAACCTGCCAATATTTTAGTAATGGGTGAAGGGCCAGACAGAGGTCGAGTCAAAATCGCTGATATGGGTTTTGCGCGGCTTTTCAATTCCCCTTTAAAGCCCCTTGCAGACCTTGATCCAGTCGTTGTGACCTTTTGGTACAGAGCTCCTGAACTTCTTCTAGGAGCGAGGCACTACACCAAAGCAATCGATATTTGGGCAATAGGATGTATTTTTGCAGAACTACTCACCTCTGAGCCTATTTTCCATTGTAGACAAGAGGATATAAAGACTAGTAATCCATACCACCAAGACCAACTTGATAGGATTTTTAATGTGATGGGTTTTCCTCAAGAAAAAGATTGGGAAGACATTAGGAAAATGCCGGAACATCCAACGTTGTTGAAACATTTTAAGCATACTAACTACAGTAATTGTTCGCTTGTAAAGTACATGGATCGGCATAAAATTAAGCCAGATAGCAAAGCTTTTCAGTTGTTACAAAAACTCCTTCTGATGGATCCAAATAAGAGAATAACTTCAGAGCAAGCTATGCAGGATCCTTACTTCCAAGAGGAGCCTTTACCGACTGCAGATGCCTTTGCTGGCTGTGCTATACCATATCCAAAGAGAGAGTTCCTCTCGGACGACGAACAAGAAGACAGTGCAGACAAAAGTCGTCAGATGAGTAAGGTAAACAGTACTGTTTCAGATCCAAATAGCATGTGTCAACAGCACTTAAATAGTTCAAAACGTGTGCGAATGGATGGGCCTTCTGGACATGGACCATCTGTTGTAAACCACATCAACATGATGCAGCAGGTCTCAAATCCAAATGAGTTTCATCAGCCTCATCCTCAGATGATTTTCACTTCAAGTGCCAACACCCAGCCGACCAATTTTTTTCGCCGTTTCTAGCATCTACAATCGTTTTTCCAGTCAGAAGTCCTTCTTTTCGAGTTCTTTTCAAGTTATTTTTCCAGCTGGCAGCCCTGTTTCATGCTTCATAGTCATGCATGGTACCCTTGGTTCCTTGAAACACTTGCAGCCCGGGTTTTTTGTTATTCGCTCTTTAAGTTATTTATCTACTCAATTCCATGTTCAGTCAAAAGTACATATAGTTATTTTGGTCAAGGAATGTTGTAGCAAATGGTTTATCTCTCTCTTGCAACACCGTAAGGGTTGCATATTATTTCCTAACTCTTGTTAGCCTCCAAGACTTTTTTTTCTGTATGATTCCTGACCACCATCTGCTTATCTGAATACTTAACTCAGGGATTTTTCCGCTTATAAGTGTATGCCATGTATTTTATAGTTAATCCCTAGTCTTATCAACTTGGGTCAAAGTTCACCGATTCTAAGATATTCACCACAATACCGATATCAAATACCCCGATTTCTCTAAAATCAATGCTATAAATCAATGCTTTTTTTAACTCAGTTTGTCCATTACTGTTGAAAAAATATGTTGATAGGATTAGAGTTTAATAAGAGGACGGAGAAAAGGGTAAGAATGTTATGACAAATTATAAAAGAATTATTAGTAAAACTTTTTGAAGTCAAGTGTGTCAATGTGGAAGTGATTCGTTTTTTTCACTCTGGTTTTCGGTTTAGGCCAAGACTTATTTGGCTCAGATGACTTATCTTACATTTATAGTTTTGATGCATGTGTATTATTGGAACTCTAGCTCTGTGCTGTGAGGATATGTAATGACCCTTTTATCTGTAAAATATATCAAGCAACGAAGCAAGTGCCACCAGATAGTCTTAAAGTCCACTCAAATTCGCCGATAAACTTCAATTTTAGTCTGGACTGGTGAAAAAGGAATCATCGAAAGTTCTTTGGTGTAAAAGTCATCTATTATATGCTAGGGCAGGATGAAATGGACGGAGTTAAACAGAAAGGAACCAAGCCACATCCGGATCGAACCGAGAAAAAGAGGTTTTAAGTTTGGCTCGTGCATAAGACTCAATGTAAAAGATAAACTTGAAGTTCAATTTCTGCAAAATTTGCTCCAACCAAAACTTTGAATTTTTAGCGATAGATAGTAGAGCAGCGGTGGAGTTCAAAACCACTCATAACTCAATTTTTTCCAAAACGTGGGTTGGTTCCTTTTTGCCCAACTTGATCCAAATTAGAAGTTTATGAAGTTCTGAGGGTTCCAGAATATGAATTTCCAAAATCATTCATTATTTCATTATAGACATGAGAGTCGTGCTTGTTGTATAACTGATTTTGGAAGGTTCTCATGACCTAATGCCTATAAGATTAGCACATCTGTAGTTGATCGAAACCTTTTGAACTTGGGTTTTTCCTTCGTGCCATACTATCAAGACTTTTTTTCAGATGGACGACATTTACCTCCTGAGACTTCCCTGCTCTTGGCAGTGAGATTTTGAGGTACTTACAGGGAAAAGAGTGGTGTTTTCTTTTTCTTTTCTTTTCTACGGTTGAGATACTACGGAAATGAAGAGTTTCCAAGAAGGTTTTCGTGAACAGTCAGTGACTTGCCCGGACTTTCCTTATCTCAGTCTCGGGGTTTTTTGTGGTTTTATGTATTAAGATTGACAGCTGCTGTAGGACAAATGGACAGGAAAATATACCATTTGATGAATACACGAACCAGGCCATGGGCATTATTATAAAGTTTCTTCTCCAATATTATCTTTGTTAAGAGCACCAATCAACAGTAGGAATTCCTCTCAACTTGAAGAGAACAAAAATTTCTTTAGAAGGAAAAGTTATCCACAGAAAGTTTTAAGATTAACATTGGTTAGAGATTCTTCAGCAACTTCTTGCCAGGATATTCTTAAATCTTTACTAAAATTTTCAAACGTTCATCTGTTGAGTTACGTTTATGTGTAATTTAGACATGAATACAATACTAGTTTTTTCTTAAGTATAAATGATTAATTACAGCAGTTTCTTGAATTTTAGGTGACAGGTGTTGCAGACCCTAAATATTTATAACAGGAAGTTGAAAAGGGATAGCTAGTGCTGGTAGACATATTTTTCTAAGTATGGCGCTCCATATATTTCCTACCCTATTTTCATTATCTTAAAGAGAACAAAAACAAATGTCATCCTATCTTTATTATTATGAAGATAACGAAACAAATGTCATCCTTTAAATAGACTGTTAGTAGAATAAGCCAATTTTGAGCCTCAAACGAATGGTACAAAAGTTTGAAGGCTGAATGTAATACATAACATGCAAAATGAGTCCGTCACACTGAAAATTTTGCTGCATTTCCTCCGACAATCCATGGAAAAGATGTAACTATTTTTCAAAGTTTCACACTTAATAATTCATATCTTCCTGACAAATGAGGATTTAAAGTTTGGCTTAAATCTAAAGAATGCAACTCAAATTGTGTATTTTCCAAGAGCAATATCTACCCACATGAACCTGCATATCTTTAATTAATGTATGTAAAACTGTAGCACCAGAAGATCGGGCCAATTTTAACTCCTATCAGCACCTTCTTTCTCAGTTTGTATGTAAGGTGGGTATTAAGATATAAATATTAGCTTTGTTGGACAATATCCTGTGCCATCGGATACGCTTGCAACTGTTGCATGGTTCGTGCGGCCTGGAAAAGTGCTTGATTTTGAAATTATTTTTCAAGGTCTTGAAAGTGCTTGATTTTTGGGGAAGGTGCTTGAAACTTACTCCTCCCTAATTTTCGATGGTTAATAGGGTGGCTCTTATTTTTCAACTTTTCAAGAATCAAAGGTTTGATCCCCCAAAAACTTGTCTTTTGGTGTGAAATGGTGACAAAAAATTTCAGCTGGATAGGATCATCCTAAGTGGTGCCGCAGCGGTCAACAAGTTCCCGAGCAGAACTTCAAAATTTCAAAAATCGCGTTTTTCCGGCATATCGCGAAATTTTTTTCCCCCTTTAGATTGTTGCTACAGCTTTGAAATTTTTTGAGGTAACACTTTTTTTAAGGTACTTAACATAAAATTAACTTAATTTACCTCATCACTTTTAAAACGCCCCTTTCCCCCTTCGAAGTGGTGCGATCTCGTCGATTTTTCGTAACATCCTCCCAGCACGGCTTGGCTGATCAAGTTTAAACTTCTCGACGAGTCAAAAGTAAAAACTCTTCAGATCCTTGAAGCATAGTTTCAACCAAGTTATTGAAGCCGAAAGGAAACTTATTCTGTTAGGCTCCTGGAGAATAAACCTGATTGAAAGGTATTTTTGGGCTACAATCGGCTAATTACCGGTAGTAAGTCCTGTTTAATTACTGAAAAGAAATTTTCTCGATAGTCATATGCCTTGGTTTCTTAAATATGGTTATTTGAAGTACACCTTCCAAAATTATAAAATTGCCCTTTAGAGCTGAAAATTACGCAAATTTTCTATGGGGCTCTTCAAAAAATGGCCTGCTTTTTGAGCAGCCGATTTGGCCATCAAACCCAGTTTTAATTGAAGCTCATAATAACTTAAAGCTCAGAGAAAACTTTCAAGATGTGCGGAGGAACAGTTTCCAAGTTACGGGGGAGGAGAAGGGCATACAGGCCAAAATGACATCTAATATTTGCTGTTTTCTTGTTGCATTAATGTAGCCAAGGACTTCTAGTCGTTGTTCACACATGTTCAGCATATCGATACTTCACTATTTTTACACGTAGAATTGAACTTTCACGTCAGGGAGTCGATGTATTGATTTGATTCACAGATTTTTGCTCAATTTTACTTGGAACATTGGTGGTTCAACGTCAGAAAACGTTATGCCGGGTGATTTATTTTCAATGACTAATGGTTGTCCAATGATAACTATAAAGATTTGCTCCTCCTAGTCTGATGGCAATGCAAATGCAGCTCGTGTATTTTGTAGCGGAAAGTTCTTTAAAATTGTAATGATGGGCGAATCTACTGTCAAAAGTCACTAGAATGAGCAAAAGCATCTAGAGAACTCTCAGCGTTTTGGAAACAAACCACCCAAACAACAAAGAAGTGTTTATTTGTGGATGAAGCAAAGGTCTACGATACGGGGAGAAAACTGCGCTTAGGAGCAAATTATGAAAAAGTGCTTAACTGCGCTTAGGAGCAAATTATGAAAAAGTGCTTAAAAAGTGCCCAGAATTCCTATAAAAGTGCTTGAGAAGTGCTTGATTTTTTTAATCTTGAGGCTGCACGAACCATGTGTTGTAATAGCTGGGAAAAACTTTCCACATTTTTTTCTTTTAACGTCATTCTGAAGAGGTATCTGTAAATGAAATACACTTGGAAAAAAAAAATACCGATTTAGAGAAGATTAGATCCCAAAAACTAAAAATATACAAGAACTCACCAACGGTGAATCTCTCAAATGAATGAAGTATTACCTAACTTCCACTGAAGAATAACTGTGAAGCTCATCTCTACATATGTATCTGAATGTTGTAATGAGCTGATAATGGACCACTAGACAAGGTGCGAATTTCAGCATTCTGATACATGCTTCTGAAACAAAATTTCACGTAGAACCAGAGTTGCTGAAAGTAATTTCATCGAATGAAATTTCACAAGAAATTTCGTGAAGAAAATTCATATAATTTCTTTTTTCCCCATGAAATTTCTTTCCACCCACAAAATGTCAACAATGCTTGTTTTTTCTAACAGAATTTGTTTTTATTTTTAAAGAGAATGATATTCGTCAATTAGACCAATTGGAGCGCGGTCTCTTCTTAGTTCTTTTCTTCTCGTCTTCTCTTACTCTTTCTCTCCTGGCTTATCAAGGGGAGGGGGACCAGAGTTAAGAAATTTCATGAAAGATTAAAAAAAGAAATTTCATAATGAAATTTCGTGAAATTTCATTTAATTCAGGATTCAACCCTTGAATTCAGGATTAAACCCTTGAAACTTATGAATTTCCTTAAGTTCATTTATAGGCACGTGGTAAACTGTGAAAAGGAACTTTAGAAATGCCCAGAAAGTTGAGTAAAACAGCAAAAACATAATTTTGAATTTTTTATCTTAAATTTTGGTTGAACACACAGCCGTACTGGTTTAACACCAAAATAAATTTTACGGATAAAGTAAGACGTTAGCTTTCATATTTGGAGCAAAACAAATTTCTTGACTATGAAGAATCCTACTACCCCCTAATAGTATATCGTTCTTTTTTGGTACAAAAGGGAGGGATCTTGAACTATCTTTGAAACAATTTAAATGATTTTTTCATTTGTCTCTGGTTTTTTCAGAAATTAACAGTTTGAAATTTGAGGTTAGGGTCCCCGGTCCCCCTCCCCATGATGAGCCAGAACTGCCAGAAGAGAAAGAGTAGTTAAAGAGAAGACCAGAAGTGAAGAGCTGAGAGAAGACCGCGCTCCAACTGGTCTAATTGACGAATATTATTCTCTTTGAAAATAAAAACAAATTCTGTTAGAACAAATAAGCATTTTTGACATTTTGTCGGTCGAAAGAAATTTCATTGGGAAAAAAGAAATTTCATGAAATTTCTTGTGAAATTTCATGAAATTTCATTCGATGAAATTTCTTTTAGCAACTCTGAGGGGGACCCTAACCTCAAATTTCAATTGTTCATTTTGATTCCATGCAGGATAGTATAAGATCCCTCCCTCCCTTTTGTACCAAAAAAGAAGGATATACTATCAGGGGGTACTAGGATTCTTTATAGTCAAGAAAGTTTTGTTCCAAATAGGAAAGCTAACGTCTTACTTTATCCATAAAATTTATATTGGTGTTCAACCGGTATGGCTGTGTGTTCAACCAAAATCTGAGAAAAAAAATTCAAAATTATGTTTTTGCTGTTTTACTTAACTTTCTGGGCATTTCTAAAGTTCCCTTTTACAGTTTACCTCGTGCGTACAAAGGGACATAAGGAGATTCATAAGTTTCTAGGGTTTAATCCTGAATTCTGAGTGTTT